TCTTCTGTCCAAGCAACCCAAATGTCATGCAGTAGAAATGCAGTAGRGAAGTTACGTGGACACTAGTGGAGTGTTATTATGTAGAGTTGGAAGCAAGCGTGCCGAAGGAGCGTAAATCAAAGGTAATAACCATTAATGGCGCGTGAAGGAGGGGATGAAGGTCGCCGGCAAGGGCCTTGTCATGTGCCCTGGCCACAGGCCTCTCTCTCACTGCTGCAAACCTTGTTACTTTTTAAACAAGCGAGTTTTCACCAGCCCCTTGTGAGCACAAGCACAAACACTCCTAAGAAAGGCATAGGAGTGTGGCACAAAGCTATGTGCCTCATGTGCACCAGCCTCGATTGCCACACATGCAAGAAAAGGATTTTCTAGGTAGCGAGGCAGCATTCTGAGCTCCCAAGTGAAGGCTTTCAGAGGCCGTTGCTCTCCTGGTGTGGTGTTATAAATCAAAAAAAAAAGTGCTTTATTTTGCATTTAAGTTGTCTGTCAATGTCATATGTGATTTTTTTTATATATAATACTTTAAACTCAGCTAGTTTTACACTGAAAATTCTCAGATGCAGCCCAACACGGTTCTGTTTCTAAAGTGCCTTTTAACACTTTTCCAAGCAAAGTCTCCGCAGAGTCTGTTCTTGAGCGTCTGCCTTGAGGAGGTGAAATCTGCTTTGGGTACGAGCCGCGCTCCCACTCCGAGCGAGTCCGCTCGGGAAGGCCCCTCATTTTCCTGCCCGTGCTGCCTCGTACAGGCAGCCCACGCGGCGGGTTTGGGGCCTGTTACCCTTGCAAGGTCTTGGCCGTGGGAGTCGTCCTGGTCCTCTTCCTTTTTTATTTTTCATTGTATCCTCCTCCTTGCAGGGTGTGCCTGAGTAATGACTCAGAGTGAAAAAATAGTGCGGGTAGGCTGCGGGCAGGAATGTGCCTTGTTCACTGGAAGTGGGGGTTCAAGCTGTAAGCTCTGCGTTTTAAAAGAGAACAGGCTAGCAGCTTTAGCTGAAAATTCTGTTAAAATAGGAGTTTCTTTGGGCATTGCTCGTTGTTGCTCTCCCAGCTGCAGTTGCACCATGTCGGTGTGATGCTCAGCCTGAGCGACACCAGCTTGGTGCTTAGCAAGGAGCTGTTTTAAATATTACTCATTGCCACTGTCAAATGAGCACACTCTTCTCTTTAAATATGTTCTCTGTATGTGTTTTTTTTTTTTCTCCTCCCTTTCTTTGGATATGTTGTACAGAAACTTCCAGAAAATGCCTTTGCTGCTCAGATAGGTACCCGAGAAGCCAATACAGGTAAAACTTGGGGGGAGAAGCAGGAAAGGAGGGAAAGGGCTGTGGCTTTTCATTCACTGGGCTGTGGCTTTTCATTCACTGCCTCATCTTGGCTTTCCTGCCAGGCTTTGTCTTCCAGGACATTTTTAGTGCACTGGGGGTGCTGCAGCGAACAGAATATCCTCATTTGTTTTCGTAAAGCCCAATGGAAAAAATGACATTTGGTCCCTCTTTGGAGGAAAGCCTGCTTGCTTCAGGGAAGGCAGAATTTTTAGAAATGTCAGGGGCCAAATATAAATATATGTAAAGTGGAAATAGTCTTTCCTCTTTCTCAGAACTGCATGGTAGCTCAAAATACCCTCAGCAGGGTTGTTGATGGGTGCAGGCTGCTTTCGGGGGCCCGCAGAGCTTCCTAATGCAGAGAGGTGGGAGCGCGGCCAGCCCTGCCCAGCTARTAACAAACCTCAGCTCTGTCTTCTGCTTGCTCTGGGCTTTGGACCCCAGCCACCCCAAATCGTGAGCGGAGCTGCTCGCTTAGGGTTGAGAGAGAAGAACACCAAAATACCTTGCAAAAAGTTGGTGCACTAGCTCTAAAATTAGAGCTCGTTTCCTCTGGTTGAGCCGATTTACGGCCAACACTGTGTGATGTCTTGTGGACGGGTTCTGCAGACCTGCTGCAAGGCCGAGGGAAAATGCAGACATGACATTTGCCTCAGCCTAGAACCATTTTTTGTGTTGGGAGAGAGAAAATCACTTTAAATTCATCAAGAGTTAATTTCAATTGAATAAAAATCTGCTGTGGGCTACAGATGAAACAAATTCCTCAGATGTGTGCATTGGAAAGAGGAAGGGAAGCCTTGCACAAAGCCCAGAAAGCTCCATTGTCACTCTGTTAGKTCACACAATTAAATATTAGCTCCCTGCTTAGGCTCCCGGTGACTCCTCAAGTAGTAAGGACCTGATAGGGTCCTGCAAATCCACCTCTGCCTTTGGGATTGGTGGGAGCTCCATCCTGSCAGCATGGCTCGGAGTCTGTCTGTCGCTCCCTGGTTTCTTCTCGGGCRCAGGGAGATCCTGAACTCCCTGGCAAGGCCTCGAGGGTGCCAGCGAGGGCTGGGGAGCTTTGCTGGGCATTGCAGGTGCAGTGTCCATGCAGGGCCGCTTCCTGTGCTGCAAGATGTCCCAAAGGCGTTGCGGGCTGTTGTGCAGCTTGGAGCAATCCCTGTTCCCTAGGAACGCCTGCTGAATCAGCACGGGCCGCGTTCGGCGTGTGGCAGCTGGGAGAAACCCTGCTGTGAGCCGGCTGAACATGGAGTGATGTGTGGAGCCGTGCGCGCCGCTGTGACGGTGACGCTGCCGTGGYCTCTGCGCAAGGATGGAGCTGCACGTGCGGGACATCCCATGGGCCCAGCAGGCGAGGGAAGAAAAGAGGTCCCTGTTCCCCTCTCAATTAGCCAGGGGCCTAATGGCCATCACTAGTGCAAGGGTCTTGAGGAGGGATTTGGAGACCACCACAATAACCCTGTTGTATTTGTGTGGAGTTACCCCAAACCTGAGGTGATGTGGAGCAGATCAGGGTGTGTGTGAAAGGTCCCTGGCCTGGGGAGGCTGGGGAATAACTTTCTGCCTTTGCCCCTCTGAGTCACAGGGCACGTGGCGAGGAGCACACAAGAAATAAGCAGCAGCCTTGAGCTTCCTTTGCACAAAGGTTTTGTGGCTAAGGGTTTTTCTGGTTTGCTCACCAGCTTCCTAACCGTGTATTTACATTAACCAAACCGCCTTGTTTTGGAAACCAGAGCACCCAGGGCACGTGGGCTGCTGCACACAGGGATTTTGCCCAGGTGCCGTGGCAGTGCTGCCTTGGAAAGCCTTCAATTCTTGCCGAATGTCAGTGGGGCTTGGGCTTCTCAGATGCTTCATTTTGAAGATGCGTGAAGGGAATATCTTACTCTCTTCATCGTTAAGGTTACTTTTATGCCTAAGGGGAAAACGTAACTTTGTGACCTGCTGTTGTACACCTGAGGAGGTTGGAGCCTAGATCTGCACTGCTCATGCACTGCCCACGTAAACARTAAGCACAAGGGCAGGGGGGCAGCTGTGAGCACCAATTAATGATTTGCCTCTTGGGGACCTTGTGGCCTTTGGTCAGRCACAGAGAGCAGCTGTGTGACACAGGAGAGGGCTCGTGGCCACTGCTGGGGACAGTAATGGGCTTGTGTCGCGCATTCCTCCAGTGCCTGCCAAGAGGATGGGGCTGGGAGGCGGCTCGGGAAGGCCACTGTGGCCCCAGGGCCTCAGTTTGGTGAGAAGGAGGTGAAAGGCTTAAGAAAGCTYGGATTTGGGAATGCTGGCATCCTCCTGAGCTCTGACAGGAGAGAGAAACCGAAGYGCAGGCTGTGAGAACCTCAGACTTCTGCTGGTTTGCTTGGACGGCCGCAGAAAACACTGCGACCTACTCAGTTCTGCGGTGGGGCATTTAGAATGATTTCTGTTTATTTCTCGCTGCTTCCCTTTCTTACCCAATGTAGCATCTTCTGGGCTTTGCTGGTRGATTACCCTGTGTCTCAGGATCTCTCTTGCTGCAGCTTTCTCCCTATAACTAACCCTGTTACTCTGCTTGGTGCTCAGGGCATTTCCTGCCTTCAGAAGAGCTGCTTTTCCCTTCTTTGTCCCTTCATTCCTTCCACCAACTTGCTTATGGAAGGATACAAGAACTGTTGACCGGAATGTGAAGGAAGACCTTTCCTCGCTCTCTGCTGGGCATTTGGCTTGTGCTCCCAAATGCTCAGAAGGCTTGAGGAGCTTCCCAGGTGGACACAGGACATCCGTGTCCCGAACATTGCCCTGTATGTCCTGAGAGGTGAGCAGAGGAGACTGGCAGCTGGTTCCTGGCTTCCTTGCTCCTTGCCTCRCCAGCACCTGCAGACCTCAGTCTCAGGCTGCCACTTGGCTCCTTGAGGAGGATTTTCTGCTGCCRCCGTGAGGGAGACACTGCAAACAGCCTGAAAACCCATTCATGAGCCTGCTAGCACATTGCCAAATGTCTTTTCCAGAAATAAGACCTTTACTTGAAGACTAGAAAGCGTTTTCAAGGCAAAAGTTGCCTGGGAGTGTTGCTAGCAGAAGAGATTCAAGTGGCAATTAATGGGCATTGCCGGCACCTTTCATGTGTGTGTGCTGAGGAGTGGTTTGTTCTTTCACTTCTCCGGATTTTGATTTTAGAAACTGTGAAATATTCTTTCATGAAAAGTAATAAAGAACTGTGTGTCACAGGAAGATGAAAGAAAAAAATCTGATAAGTGAAAATGACCTTTTAATATTGGTGACTTCTTTTTGTGGGATGCTGTCAAAGACGTTATCGAGCTCTTGCCTGAGATCTTTCATTTTACAACTTTTATGTGCACAATAAGCAATATATGTTATGCAGTATATGGTAAGCAGTRTATGTTATGTTTGCTTTCTGGCAAAGTATTAAACTCTGAATGTTTTGTTTAAAAGGAAAAAATGTGTCCTGAAAAGTTTGTGTGTCTGTTTTTTCTTCTAAACATATCAATATCCCTGATATTTTTATCTCAGTAGATAGGTAAGTATCTCTTCTGCAAGTTGAGGAGCGTAGAGAGCAGCAAAGCATTTTTGAATTGTATCATCATGCTAGTGCTGGTTAATCATGCCAGTCTCTGTTTTGATTGAACTTCTAATACTTTTAAAGTTCTAATTTCTTTTTTTGTTTTTGTTTTACAGGTCACATGTACAATAGCCTGTAAGTACTACTCTTTTTTGGATATAACCCTCTTTTGGTCCTTTAAGAAAGTGTCAGCTTTAGTATCAGCCAAGTATTTAATTAAAAAAAAAAAAAAAAAAAAAAAACTTCCTAAAAAACTTTTAGAAATACCTTTAAGTATTAGTATTAATAAGTATTAATAAGTATTAGTATTAATTAGTATTAATAAGTATTAAGTATTAGGTATTGTCTATTGGGATCCCATCATTCCAACAAAGCACTGAATAAATCCTTAGTTATTTTTAGCATGCACTCTAATCCCCCACACTTTCAAATTTTTAAAGATTTTAGTAAAATCAAGAATAGTTTTAATGTATTTGAAAGATTGGAGAATATATTTAAAAACAAAGCAAATAACYCCTCTTCCAGCAGCACCTCAAACCCTCCGAACACCCAAGGTGCTGCATTAAGCAGTTCTTGAAATGAGTGTAGAAGCTGTTGTACTGGCAAAGACGCATTGAAAACAACRAAGATGACAAAGATGTATAGGCAACAACTTTTCATGTGGCAGAAATTCCCAAACCTTGTCACAGATTCATTCTATATAATTACTGAGCATCCGATGTAGATGAGCTGGACTTTAAATTTTAGGGCCAAGCTAAAATGAGAAGGCCAAATTCTCACCTCACACAGCTTTAAGAGTAAAGTTAGAGTTGGTCCTAGAGGTTTTCTGRATTGTGAGTGAATCTGTCCCATTGTACTTTGTGTTTTCGCTTTTGTGAATCTTTGTGTATCCATTTGGAAAAAAAAACTAAGAAAAAAAGGTTGCACTCCCTGCCTGCCTTCCAGGAACAGGAATCCTGTTGTTCCCAGTCACCTTTCTGAAGCTCCCTATGGATGTTGCTTGTTTAACAATATCACAGTTTCCACTAAGGCARTAGTTTTTGTGTGTAATGTTAAGGCAACAGCCGAGTCAACTCTCTCCATGCTTGAGGCTGAACAGTGTTGACCTAAGGCTGTTTTTGTGGGTGTGCTCTGCCTCTTCCCACTTGTGGGAATGCCTTGTGTGCCTCTGAGCCCCTTAGTGCTCCTATGCTGGGGTTAGCAGGCAGGGTTGCCAGGCCTCGTAAAGCAGCTTTCTTCTGGTAGAACAGGAGAAAAATGTGCACAGAGTAAGGCTGTGAGCTCATTCAATTCTCTTCAAACCAARCTGCAATGAAATGAAGAGCATCTCGTGTTGGCCCACATCCAGAGTATGAGTAGAGTCAGCAAATGACCTAAATGACCTGACCATCCCTGAACATAAACCTCATGGTCTGACAGCAGTTAAAAGCAGTAAAACTGGGAAAAGGGCAGTGAGATCTCTGTACAAAAAAAGAGTTAGCAAAGCAGAAGTGCCTGCATAACTATGAATGATTATACTTTTGCAAATGGGAAGCCTAGGAGTTCTGTGAAGGTATTTATAGCTTGGTGTCCTTYCTTCTCTTTAGGCATTCAGCATTGCAGCTCAAAAAATGTAACTGCAGCAGCAGGGACCAGTAGTAACGATGACTTATCAGTCAACTCTATAAGTGGGAACAAAAGCTACAGAGGCGGAAGACCAAAAAGAGATGTGTCACCATCCGATGGGATAAGAAGCGCTCCGAACAACGTGACAAGTATGTGAAGTGGAGTTAGGCTGGGAGGTGAATGTTCAGGGTGTTTYGTGCCTTTATACCCCGTCAGTATTTGAGGTCCAAACTGTGGTCCAAAGTGCAAATGGCATAGTGGGGAGTAGATCCAGTTGCTATGCTGGAGTAGGGAATCAACCAGAGAAATGATCTGCCCAGCTTGCTGGGCATGTAGTTTAAAGCTGTGATTGTAGCATAGCCTTGAAATGATTTTATCGCCCAGCCTTGAAATGATTTTATCGCCCAGCCTTGAAATGATTTTATCGCCCAGCCTTGAAATGATTTTATCGCCCAGCCTTGAAATGATTTTATCATCCTTTGATTTCTCTAAAGGCTTGGGTTGCCTTCTATTCCCTACTTTTTTTTACTGGCTTCCGAAGCCAGACTGGTGACAGTTCAGACTTTGAAACGTGTGTGACAAATCACAGCACAAGTCTGTTTAGTATAGAAGGTGCTATATCAATTATCTATTACATATATCATGTAACAAAAAAAAACCAAAAAAAAGACCCAAGAGCTGGTTGTATGAAAATCTTTCTCAATGCCCTGCATGAAGTGAGCTGACACCTGCGTGGCATGAAAGTCCTCTCTGCTACATCTGAACCCTTTAACTTGCTGATCCTTTAATTAAACTGAACAGGGGGCAGGAGCGGTAGGACGAGCTGCRGTGATCAAAGCATGCATTGCGCTGTTTATCAGTGTGGCTTGGTTTAAAATAATAATCATCCAAAGAATAGAGAGGTATTTATTCTTGGGGTAGGTGGGGGTCTTTTGCAACTGTTTTCATCTATTTGTCAGAAATACTYTTGCAGCTTGAGAGATTCTTCCCTTTACCTTCCACAGAGCCCATGACACCTTTTTGTCACTGTTGCCTCCCGTGGCTGCAGGTGGCAGCAGCCGGAGGAGCAGCCTGGCATCACTGCTGGGCACTTGTGCCACCTGCCCAAAGTGAGAGTGACCGAGCGCGGGGTGCCCAGCCCTTGTGTCTCCACTGGTGAGCAGATCTTCTGGCAGCCTGACAGCCTCTTGTCTTGCCTTGCACAGGGCCCGGCCCGGTTCTGGATCTCAAGGCAGAGTCCGTGGGTGTGGAGCATGTGAATTTGTCATGGAGGGTGAACGACTCTGCTTCCAA